CTGCCCTCCGAGCACTCAAGCGTGTCCAGCAGCCCGGAGCCCGGGATGCCTGTCATCCAGAGCACTTACGGCATCAAAGGTGAGGAGCCTCATATCAAGGAAGAGATGCAGACCGATGACGTCAATGGAGAAATCTACGATGAATACGATGAGGAAGAGGATGACCCCGATGCGGACTATGGCAGTGACAGTGAAAATCACATTGCGGGGCAAGCCAACTGATCAGGGTCCAAATATCTTGTGACCTACAGGACTTCAAGGAGAAAAGAAAAAATAAAGCCCCACCTGGTTTATCCTTGCCAGTGGCCAAGCACATTAACTTTCTCATACACTGACTGTTACTTTAACTGTTAGTCTTAACTAGTTGGGACATCAGCTGACTAATAGACATCAGCCTGCATCAGAAGAAAAAAGGCTCAGAAGAAAGGAAACAAAGACAACGACGACAACAACAGAATGATATAAGCTATGGGTAAAATAATGCCAGTAATTCAGCTGCTATACCCAAGCACTGAAGTCTTACCCGTCGACCTTTTATTATTATTATTTTTTTTCAAATAAACTTTATGGCTGTTTGTTCTACAATGTTCTAGAAATTCTCACTCAGGTACACAGTGCCAACAAGTGGCTTGTGAATGTGTTTTGTTGTTTTGTGCTACAGTTTAAAGAGAAATAATTTTTTTTTTTTTTTGGTAATGCACCTGACAGGAAAGAAAAAAGATAAAATTCCTAAATTCCTTTTAACCCCTCTGTCTCCTCCTCCTCTTCCTCCTCCTCCTCCCTGGCAAATCTGGGTCAGAAGAGTGTGTGTGTGTGTGTGTGCATGTGCGCGCGTGCCTGTGCGCATGGCTGGCAAGGAAGGAAGTGGGGAGTCTGTTTCTGTTAACCCCAACAAGCAATTATTTCCTTTCAAGAGAGGACTTCTCTTCATCAGTTGCACACCATACTGAGTCTTTGAGCAAGTGCCAAATTTGTACTAAAGCGCTGAACTAGTCCAATTTGCTTTTTTTTAGTTGGTCTCGTTTTGTTTTTCTTTTGCTTTTCTTTTGCTTCCTGCTCTGTCTTAAGTTAGGACAGTGTTGTATCTTAGACAATCCCTTGAAGAACCTGATATACCAGCAGCTGGTGAGATTAGACATATATTTTTGGTTTTGCTTTTGCTTTTTAAAGGAAACTGTAGGTGCTGTTCTCAGGTGAAAAAAAGAGAGAGAGAGATTGAGAGAGAGAGACATAAGAAATTTAGAAAAAAAAATATTTTATTGTCTTGGATTTTCACGTGTGCATGTTTATGGTACTAGTAAGAATAATATTGGACTATTGTGAGCAAAAAGCATATTCCAGAATGAAGTCCCGCACCCTCCAAATGACTAGGTCTGTAAGGCCTTTGCTTTTAATTTACACTTCAAGTGGCAGCATATACAACATAAGAAAGGCTTGTCCAAAATGTGATTTGTTCTGCACAGGACAGGGCCACTGGAAATGTTATCTCCTCACTGAGCATAATTAGGTTACCATGATGTCCAGTTTTGATGAACTCGTACCTTCAGGGAGGCTGAGTACTGCTCTCTAATTCAAAAGGTGATTTTTTTAAACTGACTTTTTTTTTTCTCCTTTGCACTTGCAGAAATCCATTTTTATCAGTGGGATGTTTGTGTAGGAAGGAAGACTAATAGCGGTGAAGAGATTTCCATATTGAAAGTGGGCATGTAAGAACCCGAAACTTTGCAGTGCCGTTTCCCTAGCTGCTGCCTCTCACATGTGAAAAATTGTTCTCCTAAGCTAAAATATTTCCAGCATTGTTCTAGAGCCCTTAGATATCTTGCCTGGGCAGTTTTGCCTTGCTTAGGCAACAGCAACCAGGTGAGGAAAATGGATTTACACAAGCATAATCCTGAGCAGAAGTTAGCCTCTTGTATTTCCAGTAAGATAACTGAACGTTACGCTTTATTTCAGAAAAAAGAATGTAAATACAAGTAATTCTCTTTTCATCTCCTTACTCTGATCTTCCTGTAGAAGGAGAGGACCCAGGTTTGTGTAGCAAGACTGAAGTATTAGACGTAAACCAATCAGTCAACCAACCAGCCAAAAGGGCTACCTCTAATTTCAAACAGCAGCTATCCAGGAGCTCCTCTCTGGCCTGGGAAGGAAAGTCTTAGGATTGTACTTAGGCAGAAGCCTTCGTACTGATGATGCCACTTTTATATTCATGTTGCTCCCTGGTAAATGTCTGTTTTTAGAGAGAGACTCACTGCTATCATTACCACTTTTAACTTGTAAAAATAGCAGTGTGCATCTTAGGGCCAGTGAGATCCCAGCCCAAGCACTGACCAGAACCAAGGTCTTCAGTACTTGGCAACATTGATTTTGCAAAGGTCCCTTAATCAGGCAAATTTAGCCCTTGGTGCAATCAGCCATTTAAGTCCAGGTGCAAGATGAAAGGGGCAGGTAGGAGGAGAGGCTGGGAAGGAGGATATGGTGGGGTCTTTCTTTGCTTCTCGAAATCCTACTTGAAGTGTAACTTGACCTCTGCAGACCTTGTACAAAGCAAACAAGCAAATGCCGTTGAAGACCTAGGACAATACTCCGACGAGCAGTTTGGACGTGTGATAATTTTACCCTGCAAAATCTTTTATTTTTCTCCTGTTTTCCCTTTTTTGATTTCCACCTCTGCCTCGAAAAATTATTTTCTGTTTTCTCTCTCTCAGAAGATTTGCTCTGAAGTTATGCTTGGAGTAGCTGATCATATCCTCCATGTCAGAGAGGGCTCTTTTTGTTTGTATTTTATGACTGTGTTGGGTTGTTTGTTTTTTTTTTTTTCAGTTGAACTGCCTCTTCTTGCTAGTGTTGTAATGGTAATTATAATAATAATAATAATGATGGTCAGCTGTTCCCAGATCAGTAAATTATGTATAATTTATTTTATCCCCCCCTTTTTAACTTTATTTTATTCTGTTCTAATTTGGCAGTGCAGCAAATGAAGCTGTTAGGCTATTTAAAATTGATACCCCTCCCCACCTTGCCTTTTTATATATATATA